CGGATGGTCGCCCCTTCTGAACCAATCTTGGACCATTCCCGAACCATTCCCGAACCATTCTTGAACCACTTTTGAACCACTCCTGAACCATTCCTGAACCATTTTTGAACCACTCCTGAGCCACTTTTGAACCACTCTTGAACCACTCTTGTGCAGCTTTTGAACCACTCCTCCACCGCCCCTGGGATAGTCGATAACACGGCGACCACTTCTGAACCAGCCCTGCAACACCCGAGCATCCCTGAACCATTTTTGAACCGCTCCTGAACCATTCCTGAAACGCTTTTGAACCACTCCTGAACCACTTTTGAACCACTCATGGTCGCCCTCGCGCGCGCTCGTGAGAATTGTCCGAATGGCGCTCACCCCTGAACAGCCCCCGAGCCGTGCCCAAGTCGCCCTTGGGCCATTCCTGCACCATTTTTGAACCACTCCTTAACCATTTCTGGACCACTGTTGGACCACTCCTGAACCACTTTTGAACCAGTTTTGGACATCTGTTGGGCCACTCCTCCACGGCCCATGGGATCTATTCGAAGGGCAACCACTCCTGAGCCATTCCTGCACCATGTCTGAACCTCTCCTGAACCATTCCTGAACCACTTTTGAACCACTCCTGAACCACTTTCGACCACTTTTGAACCACCCTTGAACCACCTTTGAACCACGCCGCCTAGCTCCTTGGAGTTGATCGGATGGTCGCCCCTTCTAAACCAATTCTGGGCCATTCCTGAACCATCCCCGAACCATTTTTGAACCGCTTTTTAACCACTCCTGAACCATTCCTGAACCACTTTTGAACCACTCCTGGACCCTTTCTGAACCACGTTTGAACCACTCTTGAACCACGTTTGAACCACTCCCCCATGACCCATACGACCTGTTCGAAGGGCGCCCATTCCTGAACCAATCCAGAACAATTTATGAACCACTCCTGGACCACTTTTGAACCACGTTTGAACCACTCCTGAACCACTTTTGAACCACTTTTGAGCCACTCCTGAACCACTCTTGAACCATTTTTGAACCACAGCGCAACCACTCCTACATGACCCATAAGACCTTTTCGAACAGCGGCCGCTTCTGAACTAGTCCTGCGCCATGTCGGGCCTAACCTGAACCGTTCCTGTGCCATTTTTGAACCACTCCTGAACCATTCTTGAACCACTCTTGAGCCACTTTCGAACCACTTTCGAGCCACCCTTGAACCACTTTTGAACCACTTTTGAAGCACACCGCCTAGCCCCTTGGAACTTATCGTATGGGCGCTCCTTCTGAACCAATTCTGGGCCATTCCTGAACCATCCCCGAACCATTCCTGAACCAAGTTTGAACCGCTCCTGAACCATTCCTGAACCACTTTTGAACCACTCCTGAACCACTTTTGAACCACTCTTGAACCCCTCTCGTGCAGCTTTTGAACCACTCCGCCACCGCCCCTGAGATAGTCGATAACACGGCGACCACTTCTGAACCAGTCCTGCAACACCCGAACCATTCCCGAACCATCCCTGAACCACTTTTGAACCACTCCTGAGGCATTGAACCACTTTTGAACCACCCCTGAACCACGTTTGAACCACTCTTGAACCACTTTTTGACCACTCCTCCACGGCCCATGAGATCTATCCGAAGGGCAACCACTCCTGCGCCATTCTTGAGCAATTTCTGAACCACTCCTGAACCATTCCTGAACCACTTTTGCACCACCCCTGAACCACTTTTGAACCACCCTTGAACCACTTTTGAACCACTCGTGAACCACTTTTGAACCACGTTTGGACCACACCCCGCAGCTCCTTGGACCCGAACGGATGGCCGCCCCTTCTGAACCAATTCTGGACCATCCCTGAACCATCCCCAAACCATTATTGAACCACTCTTGAACCGCTCCTGAACCATTCCCGAACCACTTTTGAACCACTCCTGAACCACTTTTGCACCGCGTTTGAACCACTCTTGAACCACCTTAGAACAACTCCCCCGTGACGCATAAGACCTTTTCGAAGGGCTGCCACCCCTGAACCATTCCTGCACCACTTTGGAACCACTCCTGCACCACTTTTGAACCACTCTTGAGCCACCTTTGAACCACTCTTGCACCAGTTTCGCACCACTCCTCCATGGCCCATGAGATCCGTTCGAAGGACAGCCACTCTTAAACCGTTCCTGAACCTTTCCTGGACCACTCCTGAACCATTCCTGAACCACTTTTGAACCACCCCTGAACCACAGTTGAACCACTTTTGAACCACTCCTGAACCACACACCTGAACCACCTTTTGAACCACGCCGCCTAGCCCCTTGGACCTGGTCGGATGGTCGCCCCTTCTGAACCAATCCTGGACCATTCCCGAACCATTCTTGTACCACTGTTGAGCCACTCCTGAACCATTCCTGAACCACTTTTGAACCTCTCCTGAACCACTTTTGAACCACGTTTGAATCACGCTTGGGACGCTTTGGCCACTCCTCCACCACCCCTGAGAACTAATCGGACGGCGATCACTTCCGAACCACTCCTGCACCACTCCTGAACAACTCCTAGACCATTCCTGAACCTTTTATTGCAGCACTCCTGAACAGCGTTTGGGCAACTCCTGAACCATTCCTGGGCAGCTGTTGGTCTACCCTTGCGCCGTACCGACGTAACTGCTGAGCCATTCCCTCAGGCAGTCATGGCAACCCACCGAAGCCCATCCACGTCTGAACCCAACATGAGGTGCCCATGAACCATTTCCGAGCCACCCCTGGGACGCTCCTGAACCACACTTGGTACACCCGTGAGCAAGCCCTGAACCTTTCATGCGCAATGTATGAACCATGTCCGAACAACTCCTGGGCAACTGCTGAACCAGCCCTGCAAGTGTACATGGGAGAACCGAGCCGCGACCATTTCAGGCACCGTCATTGGGCCACTCCTGCGCCCCTTCTGAGCCGAGCCTGAAACAGTGTTGAACCGCGGTTGAACCAATCCTGCGCCACTCGCTGACCATATTCGGTGAATCTGGAGCACCCAGAACCACTCCCCCACCAAGCCTGGGACACCAATAGGCTGGTTTGGGAACGCGCTGGGCCGTTGCACCTCCTGGCCCAAGCCTGAACTACTCCAATACCACATGCCAGCAAGTCTTGCATCATCAAGACACTTGCGAGCAACGTTTCGATAATACATGGCCACCTTGAACCACCTTTGCGTCACTTTTGCATCGCGCATGCAGCGCGTCCGAGCCACCCCCGCAGGCTTTCACTGTGCCTGCCGATTGACAACCAACCCGTAGACGTCCCTGGGCAACCCCCCGACCACACTTGACCAGCTCTTGGTGCACCCCAGAAACACTTCTGCACCACCCTTGAAACGCTCCCGATCAAGTTCAAACACATTTCTTGACCAGAATCCTTAGCGTTCCTGTTGCGCACGCAAGCGCAATCACCTCTGGCCGTTGCCATGGGCGCCGATTTTCCATTCCTGAAATCAAACTGAGCAGCTCTGGAAGCACAAGCGGGCAATTCTCGAATCACTTGTGACATGGTGCCAAATTGACCATGCACAATGTATGTCGCTCGTGAACCACTTGTGAACCGCTCCAATAGTCACTCCTGAGACTCATTGATTTAAGCCACTTCTGAACAACGTAAGGCACCCTTGAGTTAAGACATTCCTCCCTTGAACAGCCTCCGTATCATATAAGGATCATTATCGCAACGGTTTCGAACCACACTGGTTCCATGTGTAAGCCAAGTTTGAGCCCCCCTGCCGTGATACCACATGCCCACCGAGCTTATCTGAGCCCCTGCGCGTTTAACCTTGGGCCCCACCCCCCGCGTGTCCATGTTGAGGCCCCTTGAATGGATCTCAGGCTTTCTGGGGCTTACGCTCGTGCTATGCTGGAGTAATATATCCGCGCCAGTGCCCTTTGACTGGCCATTAGGGGGTATATCTTGGGGCCCATCGGGATCACATCAATACAATCTAAGGGATTTGTGTAGTCGGGGTTCTCGTGATACTCCCTTCGTGCATTCGGGGATCTCCTGACGTTCTGCTCCGCCAACATTGCGCTACAACTAAACAGCCATTGATACGCGTTTGCTTGTCATGTGTGAAGTGGGGCTTGTTTTCAGAGTAACGGCTATGCACTTCGGCCCTTGGGATTCGAATCAGCTCCTCCCCCCGTCACCCTGCATTGAGTTTTCATCCACCCCACCCCGCGGGGTACGAGGTGTGCAATAGATGTAGCACGCTTGCGCTGGTCTACCCCCAACCCCGTGCTGCATCCCACCATGTCAAAGATGTCCTGGAACCCTCCCTGTCTGAGCAAATGACCAGATAAAGGTTATGCCTGCATTTGATGAGGGCACTCAGGTACATTGGTGTGGGACAGTGCGCACTCCTTTGAAGCGACCGACGTCGGACCCCGCTTCGCCCCTCCGGCTTTGATTCAGCAAATCGGTGCGCAGCAACCGGTAGGAGAGGCCCTCGGCCAGAGCCGGTCTGATTGATTTCGCCCCGTCTGGCCCCACGGCAGCCCCGCGTGCAACAGAGGAGCGCCTAGCCGCGGACTTCGACGGCGGACGGTCCGAATAGAGGCAGCTCTGCGTTGCGCTCTCGGCCGCCCCGCTGCCGCGGTCGGTGGCCAGGCCCTCTCCTGTTGCCAGCGGGCTTCCAATCGCTTGTGCCCTCTACAACAGCCCCGAGCCCCTCCCTGTGTTTTTCGTTCCACATCGTAACCATGTGGGCTTATACATTCCAGGCGTTCACGTGCACGGGCGATCCCAGTCGGTCATTGTACCGATCGCTCTGCCAGAGGAATGGCTGGAGTGGATGCCGACGCTGATGGGGCAACCTCGGCTTTTGGAGCATCTTCCGCCCATGGCTCCAGGCGGGCGTCGCGTGGCAGAGCAGATACGAAGCTGACGACGATCACCTGCCACCTCTGTGAACAGGAAGGGCTCTGTTACAAACAATGTTGGGGAGTATGTTTCGACCAGGAGTGCTTCAGCAAAGTACGAGCCAGACACCGAGCTTTAAAGAAGGGGCAGAAAGGCACAGGGAAGGACCTCGTCGCAGAGAACAAGGCGATGATGCTCGAGAAACCTGCCGAATGGCGGAAGGACGAGTTCTTCTCCCCCGATGGCCGCAAGCAGGCGACAGCGCTGCAGAAGCAGAAGGGCCAGGCGTTCAAGGAGCGAGGGTCCCTCAAGCAAGACCTCTACGTGGAAGACGAGAGCTCATACACCAAGCGGGCCTACAAGGATAAGATGAAGGCGGGCAACTCGATGTCGGAGAGCCTCGCCAGCGATGACCTGAGCGCCGATTTCGACGAGTTGCGCGAACGTCAACTCACGGAGGGTGAGAAGGCAATGGAGAAACGCGCTGGGAGGCAGCTCGTCTGGCTGTGGGACAACCCCAAGGTTCGCCACGCCTCAGGGAAGCAGTCCATCGACGGCGTTCGGGATTGGACAAGCGGAGGCGACGGCCCTGCTGGCAGTCTGGAGGGCCGTCCACCAGCGGCATCTCACTCGGGACGAGCGCCAGCCAGATCCCCCACGAGCGAGCTCGACGACGGCTCCGACGCCCCCGCTGTCAAGCGCCTCCGCGGCAAGTGCAGCGCGGGCGCCGCGAGGGCGCGGCCAGGCGCGAAGGTTGATGACGCGGGCGGCGTGCTGTACCTCCGCCAGCGCGACGCATTGATCGACACGGTGGGCGAGTACATGCATGAGATCACTGGTTCCAAGGGCTTGCAGAGGGTCGTTGCGACAGTGAGGCAGCTGATCGAAGACAAGGACCTCGACGCCAGCCTGCTCCCTCACGATCCGTCTGATATGGAGAAGGCGATTGGTGATCTGATCAGCGAGATCGAGGAGCTCCAGCTGGTGGCCAAGAAAGCGAAAAGGCAAGACATCGAACGCGAGCAGGGCAAAGCTGACGATATCAATGCCAAGATCCTTTCGATCAAGGCCAAAGTAGACGACCTCCACGCCTCAACCACCCACATGCTGCAGGGTGCCCGCCTCAGCGAGCGTTCGAGCAGACAGGAGATCTACTGGGGGCAGGTCTCGATCGAGAACGCCTTGTCGGGCGGAAAGTTTGGCAAGCAGCGCGCTAAGAACTTGGCCGGGGTGTTGTGCTTTTTTTTTTCGACACGGTGGACGAGATGGTGCAGAACCCAGAGGACGATGAGGAGAACCCTGCGTGGATGCAGATCCAGCGCAAACCAGCCGCGCCCAACTTTGCCGCGATGGCGTCGCGGCCCGCTGAGGGCGATCATGCCCAGTCCATTCGGGACTCCGCGAAGCAGCAGTGCGCCCAGGACAAGCTTGAGAACATGCGGGGCCACATGAGTCGCAACCCTTCGTGGAGCGGAGCAGTTTCCGCCGCGGACGGGCTAGAGATCGACGGGGCCATGAAGCGGCTCTGCGCCAACGTCGAGCTTGGAGACGGCGGCGGCCCGTGGATGATAGCAGCAAGGGAGCATTGCTGCAGGTTTTGGCCCGAGGCGTTCCCCCTCTTTGGGGGCGCCTGTCTGGTGACCATGCTCGAGAAGACGCTCTACCTACGGCTGACGCCGATGGAACAGATTTTGGAAAAGGGCTTCTCGGCAATGGAGCGCGGCAAGTTCCTTGAGACCCCCCGAGGGGCAGCCCACTTGGCAGAGAAGGTGATCACTTGCAAGTTGTCCAGCGGCGAAGTGTTCTACATCCCGAACGGTGTCCTGACATTTGGAGTGCATCGCCCGCAGACCACCGAGAAGGAGGAGCAGCCATCCTCAGGAACGAAAGCAGTAAGGAAAAGGCCTGCGAAGGCCATCCTCAGTAACGAAGTTGGCTACGCTCTGGTGGTTCCAATGATCGCCAAGGACGGACTCGCCGACCTCAACGACCAGACGCAGGCGGCCATCCTGAAGGTCAACGCGGACCACTTCAACTCAAAGCAGTCCGACCCGCAGCACAAGAGGAGGAAGAGCTGGTTCACCAAGCTCTTCCGAGGCACGGGCTAGCGGCTCCTCGGCCAGAGTCCGTGGCCGCGTGCCCAGCACGAGCAACCATCCATCATGCCAGCCATCATCCTCATCATCATCATCACGATCACCACTCTCGCCAGCATTGCAACCGAATAGGCCCCGCCGCCATCATAAGGGCGGATCGTTAGGCTCGTCTGTGTAGTTTGGCGCAGGTATTGCTTGCAATGTTCCAACGTCCCCCCCCTCACTCTGCCTACTCCGTTCTCTCGCCATTCGTCATTCGTAGTATTTCTGAGTATCGTCGCCCCCATTATGCTATACGTCTGCATCGCCTGCAGCCTCGTCATCGTCTGGGCTGCCTCCCCTCGCTCGTGTCATTTCTGAGATTGCCCCCCCCTGTGCCTTCCTGCTGCGCACGTGGCTCCGCGCATGCCCTCGCTCCTTCCTCCTGCCCCCCCCCCCCCCTCCGCCGCTCCTACTTAGATTGTTGTTGCGCAGCCGTGCCAAATAGGCAAAGGCTAAAACGCTGGTGCACGGTCATGGCTGTGGGCGCGTCGCGCGCGCCATGGGGATGGCGGCGGCCACTTGTCCTTCGGCATCCGTGCGAGCCGACGGCGCATTGTGAAGTCGCCCTGCTGGGAGGCGGCGTCAGCACCCACTCAACGACAACATCGCTGAGCGCACTGCGCGGCGATGCATGCACAGCCCGACGGCTCGCCAAAATGGCTGCCAACGCGCGCGCCGTTTCTCAGCGGTAGCGCGGGCGTGCGGGCCAATGCTGAATAGCACGTGCCCCCATAACATGCACCCATCAACGCGACGGGTGGCCGTGAGAGCGACGCGCCGAGTAGCGAGGGGGGCGCCTTTGCCCCCCTCTATTGCGCTTGAAACAACGCATGCGCGAGTTCACGCCGCGCGCTGGCGGCATGAAGCGTGGGGCCGCGAAGCTGAGCAGCTCATGCTGTGCGCTGTTAGGCGCTGGGGATGTCATCTCGGCAAGTCTGATCGCAGCCGCTAGGTTGGGTGAACCGCCGCCCGTTTGTCTGAACCGCGCCGCTGGTCATCTTCATTTTGGAACGCGCGTCACGTGATGAGACGGGGTGCGACGTCGAGTCGCGCGCCCGTCTGCGCGGCGGTGGGATGCGGCGATGGGGCGGCCGCTTTATTTTGGCGCGGTGATGGTGCGGTGGCGCCGATCAGGACAACCGTCCGAGCTCGCGGTGCCCGCCTATCTCGGGCCCGCACGCGTCTTGACTTCGCTACTGGGCCCAAGCGACTATGACCGAACGATGAGCGCAATTGGGGTACACGCGCTCGTTCGGATATCAACGGATGTGGGCGAGGCATTGCCCTCGCCCCGTTGCGCTGCCCCTTTCAATGGATCTCCTCCGCGCAGCATGCCGCGCGCGCTGGCGGCGTTCATCGTGCGATGCTTGGGGCGCGCGCGCGGTGCATACGCGTGATGCGCCACTGGGGTTTTACCCCGAGATCGGCATGCTTCCCTCGGCGCATTGTTGACCTATGTTGCAACTACATCGGCTGCGTGTCGGGCATGGCCCAGGCTGCTCATTTTTGCCCATCGGTCGAGGTAAGCACCTGGCCCTTGTAGCTCAAACGCGCATGGCCGCGGCATCGATCACACGCTGATGCGCGGCACTGTGGGGACCGCGAACGCGCGTGCAACGCTGCGTGCCCATACCACAACGTCCGCGCATAAATGCCGCGCGCTTGCTACTCAGACGAGCGGCAAGGCGCTTGATTCGCGTTCAGCAGGTGGACGTGTGCTGACGCGTTGGCGTTGGTGCGGTATGGTTTGGCGTCGTGGGGTGAAGCTGGCGGCGCCGCATGGTCAGCCAAATTGGCATTGAAACGTCCATGTGATGCGTTACGTTGGCCGCGCGAGGCAAGCCCGTGCTGCCTCTGAGTACTGTTCCTAGAAGCTTGTGATCGGTTTTGCTGATTCCTGCAGGCTTGGGCTGCCGTCTGCACTTTCATGTAGGTTTGGGCAAAGTTCTGCATCGCGTTCGAGGTTTGGGATCCCGTTCTGAATTTCGGAGGTGAATTGTTCTGAACCTTACTGCCTACGCCCTTACCAAATGTATGACAACAGTAACGAGAAGTACAGAAAGGGCATGAAGTCGTATGAATGGCTGTTAGGGAGAATTGCAAATCAGATGCTGCAGGACCGGGGAGAAGATAACAGGAGGATCCAAAAACAGCAGATCAACAAGCGAGGGGTAAGACCCAGTGGCGAGAAGACTGGTGGGGGGAACAAGGACTCCCTTACCATGAAAGATGGGGGGCTCAAGATGTCCGCCATCTGCCGACGCTGGCAAAAGGGGCAATGCTCCCTGAGCCGACAAGATTGCATGTACCTGGGCCCCAAGAAGGCTGCACCCGCATCCCAGCAGAAGAGATGCACGACTCAGGTGGCGACGCCAGGCCCCTCCAATGGAGGCGCGGCTGGGAAGAGCAGCGGGGGCAGATCAGAATCAAGGGGCGAAGATAAGAACGATAAGAAAGACAGGGGCAAGCGTAAATGCGACAACAAAGGTGGCAAGCAAGACCGCTCGAATAAACGTGATGGACGCGGCAGCAGCCGCGGGAGTAGTAACGCCCCATCAAAGGGAAAGAGTCGGGTTTGCTATGCCAACAGCCGAGGCCCCCAGAACTCTGATGGATCTTGCGGTAGAGAGCATCGACCGCTTACGAAACAGGAGAAGCAGGAGCGTGATGCCTGGGAACAGAGTCTTCAGAAGTCTGGAAAAGCGCTGCCGTGCAGCCGCAATGCGGAACAGACGGCCGCAGCCGAAAATATTGCGAAGGCGTTGAAGACGCAGGCAGCTCCCGCCCAGGACGGAGGGGAGACACACGGCGGAAATTCCGGTGGTCAGAAGGGAAAAAGAAATCAAACTGCTGGTACCTCCTGGACGGCCAGACGTGCCCCTTCGGCGACAAGTAACGACAAGTGTTGGCGCAGGGCCAACACTCCCGGGCACCCGTGACCCGGGGCGGCGGCGTCTGGCGCCCATGGTGCCGACGCCGTCCGCGCGGGCGCTGTCGCAGTGGCGATCTGCGCGGCCTCCGCAGAACCGGTGCAGCTGGCATGTCCGGCTGTGCCCTTCGCCGGGTCACGATCCCGGGCGATGGATCAAGGGCCAGTGGCCAGCCCAGGAGATTAATGGTCAGACAGCTCTCCCTTCATTGAGACGCTGAGATGCCTGATAGCTGGCGGAATACGATCATGCCCGAGGGATGCGTTGGACCTGCTGGAGACAGGCAAGCTCGGGCGAAGTTCCCTGCGCCGTGACGCAGGTGGCGCCCTTAACAGGATGCAAACTACTATTCGGACAGATAGGAGGATTCGAATAGACCCTTCGACGCGTTATCCGACGCTATGGACCCTGAGGAAGATCAGGGAAGCCGATCCGAGGCCGATAGCCTCGAAGCACGGGGATCCGCTTAGTTTCCCCAAGAAATGGCAAGAGTGGCGCACAAAGACCACGCGCGTGCATCAGCAGCTCGCCAATAACGACGCGAGCGACTTGGAGCACGAAATGTGGAGGTCGTGGCTGGACAAGGGGCCAGCGCCCGCGACTGACGACGGGCACAATGGCGATGGCGGGGGCGGCAATGCCGACGCCGCATCGGCCAAGAAGCACAACCGAAGAACGAGGGGTAGAGAGACGGTTCACCTTGGACCGATGCGATTCATAATCGATACTGGATGTGGATCCAATCTGATTGCCTTGAAATGTGTACAGAATGCAGGCGCTATAGACATGATGAAGGAACTCCATGTCCCTATCACATTGAACACGGCCGGGGGGCTTTCCAGTGCCCTCGGAACAGTGAGAATTGCCTGCGACCTGCTACTGAGTGGCAAGTTCGACGCGATAGTCATGCCAGAAACGCCAAGCGTGATATCCGTAGGCGAACTATGCATAGATCACGGCTACAGTTTCTACTGAAAGAGTGAGAGAGAGCCGTATCTCCTCCTACCCAATGGGATGAGGGTGGACCTGACGGTAGATGACAAAATACCGTACCTCAACATTGGAGGAGGTGATGCTTTGGGTCTGGTAGGCGAGGCAGCTCCCGCCTACCCAATCGGGTTAGCGCGATGGGCGTGTGTGGAGGCGAACGCGACGTCTAGCTTGAACGATCCCGAGCAAGCGGGGGGTCCCCCGCTCCGGGCGATCAGGCACCGCACCGCCGTGGACCTGCGCTCGCAAGAAGTGATGGCGGAACAATCGTATGTGGACGGAGTCTGTAATGACCGTCTCGAGTACCACTGCAGGGGCGAGCCCGGCGAGGCCGACCTCCAAGGCAGGGACGTCATCACGTATTTCTACTTTGAGCCTCGGTTGGCAATCCGGGGGGGCTGGGAGCCCGGCCCAACTGGGATAGTCAACATAATGCCGCCGCATAGCACCGAGGGCGGCAACGCCGTTGGAGGTGAGAAACAAGCCGCCCCCGCACCTGAAAGGGGGGGCGGCGGAAGAACACGCGGAGGCACTAGGCGCAATCGATCTCGTCGACGACGATGGCGCCGAAGACCCGATGCAGGAATCAGGGGGTGAGCCAAGTAGAGTCGAACGACTAAAGAAAGAGGCTCTATCAAGAAGGCACCTCATGACGCACCTGCCCAAGAACCCGTGCTGCCCGACTTGCACCTGGGCGACGACGCTCAGAACACAGCAGCGGAAAAAAAGCAGAACCAGGCACTAAAGGAATTAATGCCTTTCTCGGAGCCGAAAGCATTCGGAGGCCTGTGCACCATGGACCATTGGTTCGCGCTTGATGAACTATCGAGGGGACTTTGCGGAGAAACCTCGCGTGTGACACTGCGCGGCCGGTTCACGAGATTCCTGGCGGCAAAAGGCGCGCTCGGAAAGTCGGCCGAGCAGGTCGCTGACTTCTTAGTGAACCTACGGGCCCCGCACGAACAGTTCGTGTACATTTACTCTGACCCTGCAAGAGAGCTAAAGAA